GAATTAAAAAGAGACTATTCCAAAATACATTCAAGACTGTCATGAAAAAAAAGCTTTCAGACTGTTAATGAACCTATATTAAGAAAACTATAACTAATTAAAACTATATAAATATATGTATGAGCATGTAGTCAATCATATATAAATATATTGTCGCATGAGAATTATAGGGTTCTATCTGCCTTGTTTTATGTTAAAAGAATTTAACAATCAAAGTTTTAAATAATAATAAATAATAAAAACAAACCACTTAAAAAATGATATATTATATATCATTTTTTAAGTGGTTAATATAGGTAACATAAACAACTTATAATTTATAACTATAATGAATAACAGCTGTAAAACATGTATTAAATAAATATTGAAAATTAAGCTCCCACAACATAAAAAAAGGCAGATAGAACCCTATAATTCTAATTTGACGATATGTATGTGTATGTAGTCAAATATATATATATAAATATATGTATGTGTATGTGGTCAAACATTTACAAATATCTGTATGTGAATGTGGTTAAAAATATATAAATATATATATATATATATGTGTATGTAGTCAAATATATATAAATATCTGTGTGTGTATGTAGTCAAACACATCTAACAATTCAAACAATTGATGATGAAATTGAAATAAAACAAATAGAAAAACTCTTTAACTGTTTTAATTCTTGGTCAAAGCAAAAAATCATTGTCATTTTTTTTATGCAAATCATTGTGATTTTTTTTAATGCAAATCATTGTGATTTTTTTTAAGCAGTTAAACTTTTTTTTTAATCATCATCAAAAATGCAAGATTCAATAGCTCTACATTTTCTCTTGATAGATGTAATTTCGTCTGTTTTAAATTTCTATTCAGCTCTTTAATCAACAAGGTGTTTATTTCTCTGATGCTTAATGACTATAAAACCATGGAAACAATTGAACAAAACTATTGAACTAAAATGTTGAACTAAATAATTAGATTCTTTTTTATTGGTCACTATTTGTATTAGAAAAAATGAGAATACATTGAAAAAAAATAGTAATTTAAAGAAAATCATTTATGAAATTTTTAAATAATGCTGTATATATATTTTATATATATATATATATATATATATATATATATATATATATATATATATATATATATATATATATATATATATATATATATATATATATATATATATATATATATATATACATATATATATATATATATATATATATATATATATATATATATATATATATATATATATATATATATATATATATATATATATATATATATATTGCTAATTCCATAGTTCAGTGACGCAACATGCGGAGAGATTTTCTTTAATAAAAATTTTTCTGTAACTCAAAAAAAAACTTTTATTACTCCAAAATAATCTTGAACTAAAATTTTATAATATAAATTAAAATTAATTTTATTGTAACAACAATGACACAAGACATAAATTAAAACATGAGTTCAGTGGCGCAACACGGAAAAAAGTGTTTTTTTATCAGCATGTTTTCAAACAGAATTTTCTTTGAAACTTTAATTCTTGCTAGACTAATTAGATTTTGTTGTTGTAATTTATTCATTTGGCAATAAGCCAGTCATAAAAAAAGCCATAAACAACGAAGTTTTTATATCGATTTATTTTACAGAAAAAAACTATCAGTTCAGTGACGCAACGTTCAGTGACAAAACAAAAAATGGAATTAAAACGGTATAGCTAAAGGCTTTGTATGATCAGTAGAATCAGAAACTATAACAAATGTTTTTAACTCAACTCTCTTGATAAATCAGTAACAGCCTATAGCAGCTTTATTAAGTACTTACAGTTTCAATCAAATTAATTAAATTTCATTAAGGCTTTTAAACTAATTAGATTCGCTAATGAAACCGTTAAGAAGGAGTCAGACATTTGGTTCCTTCTTAAAGGTTGCCAGATGTCCGGCTTTTACGGAGGAGAATACAGTGCCAAACCACTAAAATTTAAATTTTTTACTGAGTTCTCTTTTATAAAAGCTGGATATCTGGCAAACCTACTTGAAACAGGGTTTCTATAATAAACTAAATATTCACTTTTTACTTAAATTAAATAATTTGGCTATTATTATATATTGGGTGCATATTTGTTTTGTCAGGATGCAATAATTTTAAAGAGATTGCTTAAATCAATACAGGATCTCAGAAAAAAAATTTTTAAATTATTTAGAAGGTTTTAAAAACTTCTACTTGCAAGCTGCTTGCAATCCATTTAAATGTAGAATCATGCTATCAACAAGTTGTATTTAATAAAAGATTTAGATTTTGAAATATATAGCAAGCTTGACTTGGGTTGTCTGTTAATTAAAATAGCACAGCAATTTATGAATGTTTATTTCTAGATTCTTGACTTTCTAAAAGAGATATCCTCATATTCGTACTATCAACTTTTGCTTTTAAAAAAATATCCAATAAGTTCTTGAACTTTTGTGGGTTTTATTTTTTGAACTTTTTTTTCTGAAAGATTGAAGTATCAATGTTTTATCAAATGTTTTAATTCTTATAAAATTTTATATTTATAAACTTTCATTTTCTAAAACTGAACCACAATTAAACTTTGAAACTATTTAATATTTTTTTAACAGCAAATTTAAAAGTTTCATTTCTTATTATCTATTTATTTAGAAATAAAATTATTTTAAAAGACTTACATTTTGATAAAGATTTTCTGATGTACTATAAAAAAAAATATAATGATTTTAATTTTTACTAATTTTTAAACTTATATATTCATTATTTATATATAAAACAAAAAATTAATAAAATTCTTTTTTTTTTTAACAAAGAATTTACATTTATATCTCTTATATATACACACACATGTGTATATATATATATATATATATATATATATATATATATATATATATATATATATATATATATATATATATATATATATATTTTAAAATAAAACTTCTTTTTATGGATTGATTTCTATTTGCAAAAATTAAATTTATTTTTACAATACTTCGAGGGAATATGGATACCCTTGTTTTATTTTTTTATAACGGTTTTTATTTACTTGATAACGAGGGTATCCATATTCCCTCAAAATATCGTAAAAATAAATATAAAATTTGCAAATAGAAATCAATCCATAAAAAGAAGTTTTATTCTAAAATATTTATACAAATAAAATCTATTGAAGATGTCAACATTTTAAAAAAATATATATATATATATATATATATATATATATATATATATATATATATACATATATATATATATATATATATATATATATATATATATATATATATATATATATATATATATATATATATATATATATATATATATATATATATAATATATATACATATATATATATATATATATATATATATATATATATATATATATATATATATATATATATATATATATATATATATATATAGATAGATATATACATTACACTAATATATATTGTACTAGTACAAATATACTAGCTGTCATGACCCATAAAATACGGGTCTTTAGGATATTGATGCACACTTTATCCACGTGGTTACTGTTCATAAGAACTATTATCCGGTTTATAACGCAAGAAAATCTCAATCAAATGAAAACATCTAAATGATAACTTTTAATGTCCTAGATACAAAGATTAAACTTATTGATTGCGTAAACACTAACTTTAACATAAATGGCATTTGCGAGACACTTCTTGCAACGAAAAAACAAAATTTTGAAATTTGTGAACGATTTTTTTTCTCTCGTTAGCGAAGTTGGTTCTGTGTCAAAATGCGAGGATCAAACTTTTGATTAATATCTTTACATATGTTGTCTATATACAATATCTATAAAACTTTATAAGTATTTGAATTTGTATTTTAAAAAATTGAAAAAAAATTAAAACAGTAGTTGCCAACGGTAGGACTCGAACCACGGCAGCTCTGTTCCGAAGCCCAGCGCGCTAACCACTCGACTACGCTGACACATCAAGTAATAAAGATTCAAAATTATATAAAAATTGTTTTTAACGGATATAAATGCAAAAGATTAGAAATCAAGCTGAGGTTGACGAAATGCAGTTCTTAAGTGAAAATCAAAGTATAGAACTTGATATATGTTTAAGCATGTTTTAACATTACATAACATGAATCTATATACAATATCTATAAAACTTTATAAGTATTTGAATTTGTTTTTAAAAAAATCTAAAAAAAATTAAAACAGTAGTCGCCAACGGTAGGACTCGAACCACGGCAGTTATGTTCTGAAGCCCAGCGTGCTAACCACTCGACTAAGCTGATACATCAAGTAATAAAGATTCAAAATTATATAAAAATTGTTTTTAACGGATATAAATGCAAAAGATTAGAAATCAAGCTGAGGTTGAAGAAATGCAGTTCTTAAGTGAAAATCAGACTGTAGAACTTGATATATGTTTAAGCAGGTTTTAACATTACATAACATGAAGTCTAGGTACGTACGATTTAAGTTTCACGTTTGCTCACGTTTTCTTATAAAGCAAAGGTGAGACTCTTTCTCGTCACTACCTCGGACGCAATGGTTGCCAAGAGTATCGTGTCAAACAGGCTCGAAAGCGCACTACTACTATTAAGTTTACTTAATAGTAGTAGTGCGCTTTCAATTTACTACTATTAAGTTTACTTAATAGTAGTAATTTACTAGTATTAAATTTTTTAAAGTAAATAATCAAGTATATCACTTGGTAAAAATTAAATCTTTCAGTAAGTTAATAGAAATTTAATAGAAAACAGTTTTCTGTTTTGCGCAAACAAATGGAATGGAAATGTCATTACTGCTTAAAGATAGATTAGAATGTTTACTATTTTCAAAATGTGTTTGTTCATGTTATTTTTAATGACAGAGTTTCTAAAATTTTAGTAATAACACCACACACAGCAATTTTTGCTAAAATTTTTCTGTTTTATAAAAAAAATACATTAAATACATTTAAATCTTTAACAATATTTTTTAACTTCATTAAATATTAAGTTCATTCCTTAAAGTTTTCATTTATTTCATGTTATTCAACCATGTTACATTAAAACTTATTTTGCATTGGAACACACACATTACAAATACACAAACACACATATGTGTGTTTGTGCATTTATATTTTTCTTTTTTAAGTAATTAAAAATAATATGTAACTAATAATAAGCAATTGTATCATGGCAACATTTCATACTTGCATAAAAACTTTCATAAAAATCATAAAACTGACAACTTTTGGCAAGTTTCTAACATTTGGGCTATGTTGTAAATCTCCAACTGCAATGATTCATACAAAAAGAGACTTTTATTTAATATTGCAATTCTGAGTTTCGCCCTATCAAACTACTTCTGGGTTTTAAAAAATTATTTTAACAAGAACCCTATATTAATATGGTCTATTTTGAAGTCTGTACAACCCTAATTAAATAGTTGCTCACTATGTCTATATGAGAAATAGTTATTATATTGTATCCAAAACCTGATGAACTACTAAATAAAAAAACTGAAACTATATCAAAGTGCTGCTACAAAAATAAATACTTTATTACTCTACTTTATATATCTCTAGGCTAACTAATAAATTACTTACATACATATCTAGTGTAATATCAATTTTTAATTTTATTTTTTTTCAGTATATAAATAATGCGAATGTGATAAATAATGTGATATAAATAATTTATATCACATAAACAAATATTTTAAACAAGCATTAAAAATATAACTATTTCAAAACTTTTTTAGTTAACTAAAAACAGATTAATAATAACAATAACCTAATTACTAAACAATTTCCGTCACAGTTTCCGTAACGATCTAAAACACAAATATAAACCGTAACACTCACTAAACAAATCGTCGCAAAATTAAATTTTTACTACTTGCTTGAAGATTGTGTTAATACATGAAACTCAGAGTTGCAATATTAAATTATATTATAAACATTAGCATTTAGCTTAATACATATGAACATATTTTATATAGCATATATATAAAAATAGTGCAACCAAAAAAAAAGCAGGGCATGTGTGTGTGTATGCCAGTGATATTTTTGTGCACGAGAATGAAAACAAGAACAAAAAAAAAAGTCTTTTGTCTACAAAAAATAAAGCAAAATTTATTTTAATAACGAGAACAGAATACAAATTGGTAATTTAAAATTTTTAAACAGAATGTAAACTGAATTGAAAATTATTTTAAGATTTTTTTAATAAATTATTTTTTTGTTCTAGTTTTGAAACTAGTTGAGCTATTTGATATATATAATTATTATAATGATACATTATTCGAAATTAATTGAATTTTATTCAATTAAGTTTAGTTCGAATAAGTTTAGTTATTAAATAATTCCAATATATTTATTTGAAAAATCAAATTGAAAGACAAACACAACTACTTTGTGCTGGTAGAAAGAGGAATAGTTCAGTATGGAAATGGTTTAATTACGATGTGTCATCTGACTAATCAGTATGTTTAATCTTACTTGATGGTGAAAAAGTATGCAATACAAAGTTGTGTGGAAAGAATTTTAAGGTTTGTTTATCAGTTTGAGGCATTGTTCTTATTTTAAAACAAACGACTCATTTTTATCATTTTAGAGTAAATATTCAATAACGTATACAAATTTATTTATACATAAATATAAAATATAAATATACAAACAAAAAATTATACAAAATTGTTCCTTTTTCTAGTGTTATTTAGCATAAAAACCATGTCTGTACATGTTGAGCTGGAAGAGCCAGATTTAAAGGAAATAAGTGAAAAAACCATACGAGGATAAAGAGAAAAGCAGTGAATGAAAGTGGGCCCACTCTATAAGAATCATCCTCAAATCAGAACTAGATGTTGTTTTAATGCATTAATCCTAAGAATAATGCATTAAAGCTCATATGAATTAGTAGACCATGCGGTCTACTAATTCACATGAGCATAAAATTTGAATAAACTCTCTTATTTAAATGATAGTTGCAACATGTAATCCAGTGACATTGGTGGAAAATGCAAGTTTTAAAAAGTTTGTTAATACCTTGGATTCTAAATGTTCAACACCTGCTTCTGCCAAAATTACCAACCTACTTAATGAAGAACTTACTGTTTTAACAAGAAAACTTCGTGACCTCATAACTGAAGGCAGGCACTTCCTTTAGATATGAAGTGCCTGCCTTCAGATATGAGGCACGTCATATCTGAAGGATCTTTTGTCCTTTTTAGGAATTTTAGTTTGTTTTTTTCACTGCAAATCCAAAAAACCAATACATGCTCTGCTTAATTTATATCTTGTGAAACATCCACATACAGGTGAACAAATTGCTTATTGTTTTGAAAAATGCCTCAAGTATTGGAATACCTCCACAGAAAAAATATAACTTGTTACTTTAAACAATGGAAAAAATATGGTCAATGGCATAAAGTTGTTGAGAATGAAAGCTTAAGCTTAACGTGATATATTTTGAATTAGAAAATGAGGTTAATGAAGAACAGATAACAGATTCGGAAGACCATTAGAATATGACAAATAGTGAAAAGTGAATAAGAAATAGTGAAATGGTTGACTTGATAGTTGAAAACGTAGCATTTAGAAGGTTAGGATGTTTTGCACATACAGCTAGTTGTAAAACTTATGATGGTAAACATTTTAGCTTACTTTTGAAGGTATCTGGATTAGTGGAATAATTTTGCAAATCTTCTGTTGTATT